AGAGTTTATGAACACAAATTTCAAATATAACCCTAAAGAATAATGAACAAAAAGTTATGATATAGCTGCAATGGACTTAAGTCGTTTGAGAGTAGATGAAAAGAAGGATTTGAAGGTTTGAAAGGAGATATGCATTGGCAATGGATAGAAATGCTTCGAGAATTCATCGTCAAATCTCTTAAATCCTGACCTGAGAGGGTATTGACGTAATGTCTACAAGAGAGTTTTAACCTTTTAACAATTCAACATTGTCAATTTTATTGTTCAACAGTTGCAGACGTTAAAAGAATAGGGAAATACATATAAGAATTTATCAAAAAAATACAAACCACGTACAACCCTGAAGTTTTAGTCGTTCTCAAAATGTATATTGGCCCACTGACATTATGTTAGTTTAATTACTCACAAGGTGCTGATTTTTAATGTAATGGAATAATCTCTGTATTTGGTATATTAGGTTTCAGCAGAATTAGAACCTTCCGTTTATTATCTGCATTTTACACACATAGACTACTTTGTATCCAGACCATTTCGGAGGATTTAGGATTTACTCAGAGTAGCAGGCGGCATGATCCCTAAACTTGAAATATGTTCTCGTAACGGATGCAATGACTTGATAGTTGTCATGTTCAGTCGCACTAGGTCAGCAGTCGGAAATTTGAAATTTGGCAATCATCCAAAAATATGTCCTGTCGAGATTCGATATTTCCTCAAGTAGATTTAGAATCTACACTTCCAATAATAACAAATATTTTATTGCGGCTCTAATATCATCTTTATATTCAATTTTAGTTTGGTGTATTGGGAACTGACCTGTAGACGTGGCTTAAAAAACATGTCTGAAAATAGGTTACAGTGTTAAAAATATTTTACAAAATGAATAATATACAGGATGTAGAACGAATGTGATCTCTCGGTTATTCCATTAAATGTGGAATAAATGATGAAAGATGTGATGAAAAAATAACAAATAACCAAACAGTAGATGTCCCTACTTATTACTAATTAACTACGACGTTTTGGGCATAGCCTATTATCAAAAATAACAAATATAATCAATTAGTGAAACATCTGCAAATGTTAAAGTATTTATAAATTTTATAAATAACCATCTTTTACAATAAGTGGAATGAAGGATGACTATACGAAGCAGCTATTTTTGAGAAGACTTCTACATAAAATAAAAAGTCAAAACAACTAAGTGAGTAGCAATTTCCGGTGTGTCTTCTGTCGCCGAAAGAGAATCTTCATAAATTTTCTAGTACATCAAGATTTTGAAACATTTTAACTCTAAAATCCAAATGTTGCAAATTTGGCTTATTCAATTTTAGCATTACAGCATCTTAAAATTTCAATATTTTAAGACAATTCTGGAGCCTGATTTCGACATCGAAAAATACATTAATTAATTATTACTGAGGATTTTTGTTTCATTTTAAATAATTTTTCTTTTTGTTAATTTATAATAAGTAACTATATTCATCCTAATCATACGATAGCGAGTTTCTGCAGTTTGTCCTAATACACCTATTCCAATTGTTTTCGCAAGTCCCAGATTATAGGGAATTTACCGAAGCGAACGACGGTGAATATCGAGGAGGGCGAAGTAGTCGCAAATTGTCCATGGAAGTCAGACTAAAGACAAAGAGTAAAACGAAAGACGAAAGACGCACAAGAGACGGAAGTCTTGAAAAAAGACAAAAGACGGTGAAATTAATGAAGTGTATATTGATGTGCTGTTTGTGACCATTAAAATAAGAGTATCAGAATAACTGGGCAATACCGGAAAATTCTTATTGTACAAACTATTATGCTTCCTATCATTAATATTTTATTCATTAAACATATTCTAAAATAGTGGATCTAGATTCGCTTTTATTAACCCTAGACAAACTAAAGAAAAAGCCTACATTACCGTCTTCTTGTCTTTTGTTTTGAACCTACGTCGCATACGATATCTTTGGTCTCCTGATCAATTGACCTGTGCAAATTAATAAATTGTCTTTGGTCCACCTCCGAATAAAATATTATATTGACTTGTAATCAATTCTTCTGCGACTTCCCAAAAATTTTTGGCCACTCTCTGGGGGGTCGAAATGTTTAGACCAGGCTGCTCGGTAATAATGCTTATTCCTTATTACGGTACATGTAAGTGTGTTTTTCCCAAACGATCATTCATTCATTCCGTTGTATAGCGCTGCACGTTTTACTGCACACCCTTTCTTGGCAACCGCACGCACTTTATAGTCCAGGCAATATGAGCAACTGAGTGGGAAAAATTTTCGGATTAAATTTTTTACGCAATTTTCTTCCTGAATACAACAATGTAGGCTTCCAGCCGGTAACTCGGTGGGGTATTGTTTAAATCACGATTGTTCAAGCAAATGGTAAAAAAAAACAACTTTTTTTGACCGGAACAATATTTTTTATGTTCATTGGTCTTATTCTCGATAATTATATATAATAATCGCTATTTTCTATGCTTCAAAAAGTTATTAAAAAATATATTTCTTTGGAAGCTAATATTTTTTATATGTTTAATAAATTGCACCAATGAAATTTTTCTTTTTTCTGTTAAATGATTTTAAATTTTAATTATTTAAAAGGCATGTTTGCTGACCTATACATTCCCACTGGCTACTGCTGTCCTTCCACTCGCGTATCTTATATTAGCGCCTTGCAGACGGTCAGCCAGCAAACTTGCCTTTTAAATAATTAAAATATAAACTCTTTTAATAGAAACAAAGAAAAATTTCTTTGGTAAAATAGCGATTTTCAGGTATATCCAGACTTTCAAAAATTCATAACTCGGAAAATACATTAACATTATAAAAAAAAACCTCTGACCTTTTTTATCGAGATGAAACCAAAGAATATATAAAAAAATCCGGCCAAAAAAGTTGTTTTTGACGATTTGTTTAAATAATCGTTATTTAAACAATACCCGACCGGGTTACCGGCTGGCAGCCGACATCGTTGTATCCAGGAGAATCTTCCGAACAAACCTGCGTAAAAAAATTGAGTCTGACAATTTTTCCCACTCACCCGCCCATATTGCCTGGACCTCAATATACTATTAAGTTCTGGATCGACACAAGTTCGCAGCTGCATTACCAATTAAGGGATAGTTGGCCAACAGGTTGTATTAAAATCACATTTATTAGGAGAAATAGCTTGTAATAATTTTGTTGTTTATTAATTATTATTATAGAAAGAAGTCAACTAAAAATGACGACTTTTTATAAAAATGCCTTTTGATTATGTCGAAACAGAAAACTTTAGGCAGACTTAGTTTTTATGTAAATAATTATCTTTAGTTCCGTTCTCCTTCTTTACAGTTTCCCGTACAAGTTTATTTAATCACCAAGTCTTTTGTTCTCTGTGCAGTATGCTACCGTTTTTCTCATTATATGTGTACTACGATACATATATATATGCAAAGGCAATTTTTAGAACAATGATAATGGCAGTAGTAATCGTTACCATAACGATCAAAATGTTTTCCTGAGACTCGTAGAAGTAATTTAACTCATATATACATATGCATCTTTTACAAATTGCTCCATTTCGGACAACTGATTGCACCCTTTGCTTCACTTATGCGACGTGAGGTCGTACAATGATGATCTACGTGCCCGAGTATCACGTACGTTTCTAGAAATCGAAGTTGTGAAGTTTCGATTGCAATATATGTGTTAAAAAGTGTGCTAACAAATATAAAAAGTTGTTTGAAATGGATCTGTGTAAGAGATGGTATTGATTGGAGTACGTAGTGTGATCAAAAAATAGGGTGGATTTTGTAATTAAACTACGCGGTTATTGTAAAATCATAATCGACTTGTACTGTTTGATTTTGTTGAGTAAAGAATTTGCATAAAATTTTGCTTGCGGAATGAGCATTCTACCGCAGACGTTGTATAAGGCCAATCGAATGAAAATCGTACAAAAGGTGTACCAAGGCCGAAAAGGTCGTTTAAAAATCCTGGTTATGTTAACAGTTTTCTTAGATTATAGCGGTGTTGCGCATTATGAATTTAATCCGTCAGGTTAACAAGAAATATTATTACTCCAGCTTTGTGCGCTATTCGCTTCAAAAGGTCGGAATTTGGGCAAACAACTCTTGGTTTTTGCATCACGATAATGTACAATTCCTCACTTACAATTCCTATTGGTGGATTACCACAAGTGCATTGTGTCAGACCAGGAGCGCCTACCTTGAAGGCGATGAATAGTACCACATAATACCAAAAGTAACTAAATTTACAATATCTTTACCTGTTATTTTTTTTTAATAAAATAATTTGTGATTTATTTTGCTTACAATAGACTAATTTTATTTTTCTGAAGTCTGAAGCATCTATTCTTTCTGAATCTAAATTCTCTTTGAAAGTGATTTATAAATGAAAAACGCGTGGCATGATGGCCATACAAAAGGTGAACGAAATATGTCTCAGAATTTGTTGTTAAATTATTCAATAAAATAAAGTTGCGTTAATTTTTTATATCACTTTTTCAACAAATAATTTGGTACTTTCGCTGGGTTCAGTTTATCATATCAATAATTATCTCAAACAGTGTAAAATATTTATTTGTTATTAAATAATCCAATTGTTTGGTCAATTGGAAATATATATTAATATTTTTCACACATTCAAGACTATTTCTTTAAAGTTCTTCTTTAATACACTTAATATCAATATCGTAATTTAAAGAACGCTTTAATAAAACTTTTCATTATTTGACATTTTTATCTAAAACTTAAACCATTTGTTTACAATTACAATTGAAATTAAAAGTAAATGAGAAATGGCAATATTAAAAACTTAATTTTTAATTCCATGAAACTGATTAAAACCACTTTAAAAAGTGTAAGAATTACATTGATGAAAACTACTTTAATAAGTTTATTTTCCCTTATGAGAGTAATTTGTACATGATTGCATCAGGTATTAACATTGAAGCTGACATAAAAAGAAAAACAATAAAATAAATGCACTCACGCTATGGTGCGTTCAGCCGACGGCGTAAGTTCCGAAGTTCATGATCCTTCGTGGTGGTATTTTGGCGCGCTTCACCTCCTTCGAACGCGGGAACAGACTGGAGTCGCGACGACAAACCGGGTAAAACATCCTTCCTTTCAAGCGGGATGCGCACCAGCTCATCGCCGTCCGTCATTCAACCGGTGGTGTCTGCAGACATGAAAAAGGCACAGGAACAATATACGTAGTGGAGAGAACACCCTTGAAATGCAAATCGATGCAAATAAAGCTGTAACATTATACCATCAACGGCCAAATTACTTCAAGTGGCTTATAGTTACATTTACTGTCTTGTTTGTGAATACATTATAATACATGTATATATGTACATATATTATACTCTGAGCGAGTAATGAAGTTATCAAATTGCAGGGGTCATGAAAAATAATAGGTTTCATGCAAAAGAATAATTAAGAATTTTCAAGCGAAGCATATTAGGCAAGGACACTTTGGTAATAATGTCACAAACTTTATTCAAACTTGAAGAAACTGGATTTCCGAGCTCTAACCGTGTCTCAATGATGAAATCGTCATGACGGATCATGATGAAGTTTTTTTCGTTTCGTCTCCTGTCACAAGGGACATCTTCAGGCATTTCACCTTGTCTATACTAAACTGTTCGGCAACAGCGTTGCAGACCCTCCCTTATGCTAGGAGACGAAACGAAGAAAAATTTTGACGTCACCATGATCGGTTGTGGGGATTTTCAAGACCCAGCGAAGTATTGTGTTTTGGGGAGGGGGCGCAACTGTTGTACTTTAATTTTCCAATGTTTTACACTCACACGCGCGAAAATATGCATTTATAAATAAAAAATTATTATCAAATTAAAATTAAATGAACCTCATTACATTTCAGTAGAGGTTACCTCGAGTTAATGCTACTCGCCGGGAATCGAACCCGAATGGCATTCTTAATATAGTAGGTTAATATCATTAGCTTACTCAAATTCGCCTGTGTTAAGTTTCGTCCCCAAATTCACTATATTGTTTAGGTCAATAGCATCACAAAGATCTTTTTCGCTATTTATAATTATCAGGGCAAGTCTCTCTCTGCCATGTCTCTCCTCTTGGATGGATCTGGTGAAATCTTTAACAACTATTCTAATTAAACTAAATTTTATTTGTTCAATGTCTTCGAAAAACACGCTGTAAATATTAGCTGACAAAATCGAAAAGTTTCCCCAATAGCTATTTTATATTTAGCAGCTACCTTCACGATGGCTTACATAAGAGAGCATATATCAAATATCTCCAGCTGCATATGAAGCGCTTATGACCCAGTCATATGATCAGGTGGATACAGAAGAGTGGATTTTTCAGTATTTTCACTTGTAATATTCTTTTCGCCTAACGGGTTTATGAGGATATTTGCGATTGGATTCAAACGTTCTACAACCATTTTGAGTTCATCTTGTAAAAAATTTGTAATTTTATCTTAAACGTTTTAAAAATTCTTTTGTACAAAACATATTTTTTTCAAAGCTATGTTGGATTCTTAGTTATTTTTTTCCGAAAGTATTCGTTTGCGGTGATGCCTGAAAATCCTGTTTTGGAATAATTTCAACTTTTCTAGGAAAAATTTTGACACTTTCTATTAGATTAAAAAAAAACATCTTCTTCTTGCCTTATTGGAATAAGGGAATCTCTGGTTCTATTAACGTATATTGCGTCTACAATGTTCAAATTTTCCTTTCCTTGGTATCATGGTACTTTTGCGTACCAGAACAAATTTACGAAGTATCCCGTCAAGTCGCTATTTATGTACTACTGTAGATATGCGATCAAATGCTTCTAGTAACCCCCTTACTATCGGATATTTAACTCGGAATATTGACTAGAAGTCCGATTTCTTGATAACACTATAATGGTAATTTCTAGTACCTGTGAGAGTTTAGTTTAGGCGTTTTGACACGTAATTATAAAAGAAGACTAATTTTAATATATTTTCTAATTAATAACACAAGTTGAAAAGTTGGGGGGAGTATCGCCCTTTGGCTAGGGGCATGGGGATTTTATCAATAAAACCCTGGTAAAATCCGGGAATCCAGTTTGTTCAGACGATAGCTTTAGATAGCGATAGATTTCTTGATGATATTGTATCGGCTGTTAGACCATAATCAAAAAATACAAAGTTGTATTACATTTTATTGCTGTTTATACTTGAGATATTTTAACCGAGAATTTTTGCCACTGTTTTTCTTTGACTATGAGCTTTCGCGAATTTTCAATTGTGAAACAGTTACTCATTAAATGCTAAGTTAGAATCACTAATTATTTAAACTATACAATGAGACGTTGTTAAAGTACATGTCTTTGAAATTAAAAAAAAAACTTCTAATGTGTAATTTCAAACTTCACAGTAAATTTTAATCGAATCGATTGGTATCAGAAAATTACTCCCGAGCTACTTGATAAAGGTCAATCGTTAATTACGCAAATAATTATGTAATTAATAAATTATAACAAAAACCAAAAGTACTCAAGATTAAAAACATCCCCACCGCCAACTGTAAGGGTGAAGACCTAATATTAGTAGTGTCTACCATTAATGACGTCTCACCTAAGTTGCTCAACTTGAGAGTACTTTTGATTTTTATTAAAATTTATTAATCGTTGAATTTTTTGTATACTTTACGTGTCTGATACCAATCAATCTTATTAAAGCTACTGCGAAATTTGAAGTCACAGATTACAGTTTTATTTTTAATTGCAGATGATTTAACAACGTTCCATTTTTCACATTGAGTAATCGTTGATTCTAATTGAGCTTTTAAAGAACAATTGCTAAAAATTCTCGAAAGCTCATAGTCATAAGTCATAATTCTAACTTCTCTGCATCCTAAATAGACGTTTCGCATAAATTAAATTGTTTGTGTGGATATTAAACTATCCGAACACCCACACATCCAACTTTCCAGCTCGTAGCGTCTGTAGCCTATTTATTTAACTGCTTGTGCCCTTTTAGCATTAGTTTACAAATTTAACTGTAGTTAGCGGTTGGAACTGTTCTTTTACATAATTTAAGACCTGTTAGATATACTAATTAGCACCGTTTCTGCCACGATAATTGCCAGGTGAAAATTTTTTATTTTTAATAAGAAGTAAAATGAAAATAAGTAGATCAAAAACGGAACTCTCAATTATTGTTGACCTTCCAACAAGTACCAAGCATATAAAGAATGCAAAAATTAATAGGAAATACGAAAATTCTATACTCTAATTGATTGGATTATTGCACATATTGAATCGTGTGTATCAAAATATGTTTCTCTTATTAATAAGCTTCCTTATTGTCGATGGTTTTATTTAACGTGAATGAATGTTGCTATTAATTGATTCGAAAAAAAAAAGGGAAGATTCATTGTATAAAGTAGCGACAGATTTATGCAGGCTTCGTGTAGTCCGGCATCCTCTGTAATTGATTTTCTTTGTTATTAAGCGCCAGGGAACCATACAGGTGCTACAGACACATTTTCGGGAATTATTCCGTTTGTAAATAAATTTTTAATACTTTTCCCTGGTCTCAACTGTACCAATAAAAATCAGTTTCTCCAAATTACGTTTCAACATTTTTTTAACGTTGAATAACAGTTTTATATAAACAAAGAGGAATTCCCGTTATTCATTACATTTTGTATATTTATGAACGAAATGTTGGTACACAGTGGTATATGCGGATATTTATTTCATTAAGTCAATACAATAGGAAAAATAATCACAGTGAATTATTAAACAGCGAGAGGCAATTTTCCGTGAACAGTTAAAAACAAGATAACTTTATTCTTTTGGCACAGATTTTAGAAAAATTGGAAAAATATATTTGTGTGTGTGTGTGTGTGTGAGACTTTTAAGACTTGTTTCCTTCCTTGTTTAATCTGGCGCTGTTTCCAAAGTTATTAGTTATTCCAGAGTCAGTTATTATTTTCTGATACATCTTGATAGAACAAAAACTTTCAAACCATCCACGAAAACGTTAATGATCTGAATAGGTCAATCGAAAAATCCCCCATTGTGCTCTTTTTCTAAATTTAACAAAATTTTGTTATGCACAGCTACAATACGATCTACCGGTTTACACACAATAATAGAAAATAAGTTCTTGCAATATAGCATATTTTAATGGAAATGGTATTAAAAGTTGCAAACATGTATATTTCTGTAAGCCTATTACCGCAACCCAATTTTTCTCTACAAAAATTTTGTACAAAGAATAAAATAATAATAAATATTGGGAATATTCAAAATAAGCAATAAAATACAAATGTAAACACAAAAAATCTTTACGATAGGGTGTGGCTTTCTCATAACAACTAACAAAATAATTGCAAAGATACAAAACGAATCATAGACTCTGTACACAAGGAATTGTAACAAATACAACAACATATTATTAATTAGTTTATATTATATTATTTTTAAGGGAATGTAGTGTACCTACAATACTGTTTAAGAAAATTGTTTAAGCCAAAAAGACTAGCGATAGGAATAGAAACTGCAAAGTTCATAAAGTACGGCGTGAGCGTGACTCAAAAACGTCACCAAATTGTACTCAGCAGGTCGCTGCGCAGTACGACAGTGCGCATCAGATTTGATTTGATGTGATCAATGTAAACTAAAGAATAGAAAAGATAATACCAATAGTTTAGTGTTCCGTGCAGCAAACTTTCGTGTGTTCTGCAGGATGTACAGCAACTGGTCACACCCATACCTCTGGCAACGCTACATAATGACTTATTTTTGCTCTAGAAATCTAGAAAAAGTACGGTCGAGTGCTGATTACCAGTAGAGAAGCAGTCTTGACTAGAATGTTTTAGTTTCATCACTCGCCTTACCCTAAGGAGCATGCAAATATAATTAAAGAGAATTTTCTTGTGCTCTTCGTAGAATGTGGCCGACTTGCTAAGTTTCAGTTAAAATTCATCGCAAATTCCCGACTAATTCGGGTGCAAGTTTTTACGATCTGTTTGAAATATTAAAACGAGCTAAGAATTGCGTATAGCTTAAAAAATGAAAAATGTTGAATTTA